TTTTTTTGAATTTTTTTTACATGAAACTTATAGTATTTACGAATAAATTAAAAAAAAAAACAAAAGGATACGTCCAGGATTGCACGAAATAACGTGATCTAACCAAATTTTTTTTTTTTGCTCCATTACTTATGATCGCCACTGTATGTTAAACAACTTGTACCATCATTTCATTGCCTTCAACTCACTATTCATGCAACTTTTTTATCCTTCCCTACTTTATCTCGTTTATTTATTGCACAATATTTATTCACAATGTTTTCATCAATCGCGGGCTCTTTAGAAGTCATGAATGTCGATTCCCTATGAACAGATCGGATCATGCAGCAATATTTGTCATCTTCCGCTCAATATCAGATCATCGTATTTTTTCATATCAAAATCACGGAGCAAGACTACAGTTTTCACATGTTCCTAATTAGCCACCACGTAATATCAACAAGTCTAAAGAATCTCACATTTTCACTTATTTCTTATCACGAGAATCGCGAAGTTAATTATTCATGTTTTCAACCTCCCTTTCTTTTTTTTTGCGGAGAAAGGCCCAAGGCCCCTTTGATGCCGATTGTTTGCTTGTCTTTTTGTTATTATAATTACATCCAATAATAGTACCAGTGTAAAGATTTTCTTAGAATTCTCATTTTTGTAGATTTTTAATGGTGTATCTTTATTAATAAATAAATGCTTGCTTGTCACCTTTTTCAGCTCTCAACAAATTCTTAGGGCGGGCAATGGTCGGATCAAATTGGATGATCTTCACTAGCCACATACTGCATATCACCACAATAATTGGTAAGTATTGTAACAATTTAAACAAATCATAGCACCTATTTGAAGAGGAGGTAAAGTATTGTTAGTTTGTCCTTTCAACATAACATATTCAGTTACTTTTTTCCAACGAGTTGACGATTCTTTTTTGCAGCAATTTCATACGGTCCAGTAATAGGCATTTTGTCTTATAAGTAAAGTCTCTCAACTTTTGGATTATTTTGGATTATTTTTAATAGTGAATAAAATAAACGTTCGTTTAAAACTAGAAACGGTTTTCAGGACGATTTTTTTGTTAGTGAAACGTTACGTTCTCCAAAAGTACTTTAAAATGTATAAATAAGTTACTCATCAAAATTTTATGCAAAAAAACTATAATAATAAAAATTACGTAATAGAAAAGCTGACTTATATATTTGTAAACTTTGTTATTTTTTTGTGTAATCCGTCCTAAACTTTTGGAGCTTACTGTACACCATCGAACATGGCTGTAAACCATACTCTTCGTTTCACTTCTGTGAAACTCCGTTCTTGGTACTACATATTGTGCACCATTATTAAGTATATCAGTATGTACAACAAGCAGAATTTTCTTTACGCTAGGAATCGCTTAAATTCCAATACGATAACCATAATTCTAATAAATTTCATACTGCGTGTTACTGCAGCCTGTGAGTACAGTAACAGAATTTTTTGTTACAATAAATCATGATAGAAGCCGCGCAAATTCTAATACAACAACCACAATTATAACACAAACTATATATAGGAAGTAAGTATAGCAACAGAAGTTTTTACAGAAAATCACGAAATCATGCCAGTTCTAATACAATTATCATAATTATAACAAACTACATATTGTATATTACCATAGGA